GATGTATTTCGAAATAGTCCTAAATTGAACCATAAGTAATAAAATAAACCTTCTCGCTCGTTTCAGGCATTTTCCTTTCGTGCATCGCGTTACAACTCCAGGACGTTGCACCTCGGGCCCTAAAAGCCAGAGGAGCCGTGCTCCACCGTGTGAGAAGACGACCTCATTCTTCACAACGGAAGAATCAGCCGTGTACACACAACTCTCGCACTCTCTCGGATTGGGGACTTCTCCGTGTGCCACAAGATGTCTACCGAACCTGACGACCAACGGAGACACCTGCGATCCCAAACTACAGAGAAACCACTCGAGTGCACTGTTTGCAACAAGGCTTTCAAGGATTCAGCACACCTGCGGACTCATGTGCGCAACCATTTAAGAGAGAAGCTGTTCGAGTGCACCGTTTGCAGCAAGACTTTTACTACATCTGGAGCTCTGCGGGTACATGTGCGAACGCACACAGGAGAGAGGCCATTCCAGTGTGCCTTGTGCAGGAAAAAGTTTACGCAGTCTGGAAGCCTGCGGAGGCACCTGCTAGTTCACAGAGGAGAGAAGCCATTCGAATGCGCCGTGTGCTGTAAATGTTTCACTGAATCCAGAGGCCTGCGAATTCATATGCGAACTCACACAGGAGAGAAGCCATACGAGTGCCCCGTGTGCAGCAAGACTTTTATTACATCTGGAATCATGCGCGAACATGAGCGAACGCACTCAGGAGAGAAGCCACACGAGTGCACCGTGTGCAACAAAAAATTTACTGAAAGTAGAAGTCTGCGAATACACCTGCGAGTTCACACAGGAGAGAAGGAATTCGAGTGTGCGATGTGCAGCAAGACTTTTACTACATCCGGAAGCCTGCGAATACACCTGCGAACTCACACAGGAGAGAAGCCATTCAAATGCATAATTTGCAGCAAGACTTTCTTCCAATCTGGCCACCTGCGATCACATCAGCGAACTCACACGGAAGAGAAGCCGTACGAGTGCGCGGTTTGCAGGAAAACCTTTTCTGCAGCTGAAAACCTGCGGGAACATGAGCGAACGCACACAGGAGAGAAGCCATACGAGTGCGCGCTCTGCAGCAAGACTTTCACCCAATCTCAAAGCCTGCGGAGGCATATGCGAACTCACACAGGAGAGAAGGCATACGAGTGCGCCGTGTGCGACAAAACTTTTAGTGCACCTAAACGCTTGCAAATACATATGCGAGTTCACACAGGACAGAAGCCATTCGAGTGCAGCGTCTGCAACACGGCTTTTGCTGGATCTGGAAGCCTGCGAATACACCTGCAAACTCACACAGGAGAGAAGCCATTCGTGTGCATTATTTGCAGCAAGACTTTTACTACATCTGGACACATGCGGCTTCATCTTCGAACTCACACAGGAGAGAGGCCATACGAGTGCGCGCTCTGCAGCAAGACTTTCACCCTATCTCAAAGCCTGCGGGAACATGAGCGAACGCACACAGGAGAGAAGCCATACGAGTGCCCCGTGTGCAGGAAGACTTTCGCCCAATGTCAAAGCCTGCGGAGGCATCTGCGAACGCACA